AAAAAAAAAATTAATTACTTTTTTTATTTTGTAACAGGTAATTCATACCTCTGTTCCTTTTCAAGGAATGAAGTGTTTGAGTTCTGGTATCTCCAGTGGCAAAAATGAGAAAATTTTGGGACTTCTATTATAGCCAAATTCACGAAAGCAATTTAAGTGAAAAATGATTTTAATTTTTGGAATTTTAGATGGAAAGTGACAGAAAATAAGAATTAATTTTCCATTTAAATTGCTGGTGATACTGGCTGTTAGAGGCATTGCCAGATTTAAAAATGTGAATACTCGTGATATTGATTTGCGTACCAAAAATATATATAAAAGGCTTCGAGGGTTTTGGAAAGAGGCTCATGGGTAAAAGAAAACGTGAAAAGTTGTGCTTTTATCAAAACATGCTACCAAATTGCAGCCTGCATCAACAAGTGAACAGCCTGATGATAGAAGCCAAGGTGGTCGACCATTCAAGCAATTTTCGCATTGCAGTGGACGTTCTAAGCGAAGAAGATTAGAGCAGTTGGCGAATGTGGACCGATCAGCTGTAGAATGTTTGTTGTAAACTTCAGAAAATTCCAACAAAAGTGTTTGTGAAATCGACAGTGATAAAGTGCTTTCTATTATAACTGAAGCGAAACTCACCAAACATCAGTTAATTAGAAATTTTATTTATTCAAGAAAAAATTATAGGGGTATTCTCGAAGTCTTGCACGATGCACGGATTGCACGAAATGCGAAAATACTATGGCCCTTATTTTGAGTTGCGTTTGATTTTCGATCTTCGCTGGCACCGAAAGTGAAATTCGTATTATGAGCTATGCAAGCGTGTCGAAATTTTCGTTGAGTATCGAATTTTCTGTCAAACAGAATTTTGCTTTCGTTGGTGTAGAAAATTGTGAAAAATGTATGATTTTGCATTTGTTTCTTATTTTTGGCGGCGAGACACTAATTTTAGACAATTTTGATTCATTTTATGCAGTTCTAACGTCGTAAATACTAAACACAAGCTCGAAAGGCTAGCTTTACTTATGAAAGAAAATCCCAATACTCTGTTGGCACGATCTCTGAGAACAAAATCATAGAACTCTTTATAGTTTTAATATATTTTAAATAGATTTGGATCACAAAATTTCTTAAATATATTGTACATCAAAATATATTCGGAAGACTACACTTAAACTCTCTCAAACTTTTTCTGCTCCTGGCCAGTTTTCTAAGCTCTCATCCTCTGACGAATCATTGAACCAGAACTCCGTGGTATTAATTTTTACCACGTTTTTATAAACTCGCATTTTTATTTCATTTTAATTTGCAGAAATTTACATATGTACATATGTATCACAGTATAGACAGTAACCAACCTTTTTTGGTTGTTGTTGTAGTAGTCGTTGTTGATGTAGATATATATACTTCTGAGGAAGGCACGGGGTTGTGTGCTACTACTTAATGACCTTCCTCAGACTTTTTCTTAGATTTCAGGGTTGTGTGCTGCACTATTATTAGATAAATAAATTTAAGCATTTGACAAATCGTGATTTTATTAAAAGAAAATTATAAATGGTGTTGAAAACGCAAACAAACGCCCCTGCGAAAGCTCTATTTTTGTGTGTTGTTAAAATTTATACATGGCGTATTGATGGTAATACAAGCAATGTATTCTTTTGTGGATTTTTTGTTACTTGAGAATTTAGACAACGTGCGAGCTGCCAGGTTCTGTTATGAATATAATTAACACAAGCTTTTCCACGTGGTTGCCTTTCAATAAATAGAATAAACAAATATTCGCAAATAAATTGGATTTATTTTATAACTGACAACTAACGTACGCTTTTTGTTCTTTTCTCCATTTTGATTTTGACTCTTAATTACTGCCAACAACGTTATGTGTATACATATTTACAAGCTGTCAAAATTTTGCGTAGTCCCACGAGCTAGGTAAAAACTATGGCATTCGTATTCACAACGAGAAATCTCAAAATTTTTGTTTGGTCTTTCCAAATTTTCTCTTTTTTATCAGTTGGCAAAGGCCCTCAGTGGCAGCGCTCCGAGCGTTGAGATAGTAATTTCATGTCAATTAGTAGAAAAGTTCCATGTTGAAAAAACTTTTTATTATGGCGAGAAAATTTTACATTTCTGCTGTGCCAATTCGTAACTTTTCACTGCTGGAAATTTTTGACAGTTGCTCTGGTGCAAAAGAAGTTCAGCAATTAAAATCAGAAATTATACAAAAAAGACTTGTCTTTACTGACTTTTATTCTTCTAGAACTAAAAGCCATGCATTTATTAGACGCCTTAGTAATAAAATTAGAACAAAAAAATTCTTCAAAACCGTCAGGCCGGGTTGAAAATTTTCATTCACCTCATAGTTAACAAAAATTTACAATCCGTAGTACTTTTCTATCAATTCGCAAATGTCGTTTGCACAAAAAAGGCTATGAAATGCGTTTTATTTAAATCGTTTAGAAAATGAGTCATTTATGTATACCACTTAATGTGGAATTATTCAATAAATTTCGTTTTACACTATACTTTTTGAAACTATTTGGAGTTAATTATTTTTTGTTTCTTAAAAGCAACCCTGCGTGCTTGGAAGGCGTGTGTACCAATAATTTCATCCCTAGCATATTCATCCCCGAGGAAGGCAGTCGCCAAATTCACCGAAGGTTGTTTATTGGTTATCTTGTGATATGTATAAGCACCAAGAATGATAGAATACAAGATTGCGCATTCCCGCAGAATGACATTTGTGGCAACGGGTAAACAAAGAATATGGCGAAGAACAATGAGTTGACAGTTGTGAATTTGCAGTGAGAAAACGTGTTTTCTTCTCGATTCACCAATTTCTCAAGCCATCTTTGAATATAGCCAATTAAGCACTACGTTAACAAAAAATATACAACCATTCTTGAAATGTGTTCAAAAGAATAGGTCTTATTAATTAACTATTTAGAATTTTTGTGTTTGTATTGCAGGTACCGAAAAAGTGATAATATCTTGTCGCAGCGCATGTTTTCCTGCAGAAAGTGGTCGATGCTTGCTTACCCCCGATTTTAGTTTGTAATCTGTGGTATTTCAACGTTTTCAACTTAACATGTCGTGTTTAAAAGTGGTCCGTAAAGTGCTTCATGCATATTACGCTGGTGTCTAAATTTTATGGCTTCTCCTGCCGGCAGAACTCTACCCACTTTCTGGCCAAGGCGTCGTCGCGGGGAAACAAAAAAAACTGCATTTGGGGGCTTTACCCCTACGGCTGCTGCAATTCAACACACGACACGACATTTTTATACAAATAAAACGTTTTTTACTTCAGAACGCACGAATTACCTCGATTTTTCACTTGAAAGTACACAATACGTTTGCAATACGTTTGCACTTGTTTCTAAACAAAAAGTTTGTTTACGTATTGCCATAAATGTCAAAGTCGGCAAAACCAAAGTAGCGGTTTCGGGAATGTGCCACCTTCAGTTCATTTCACCATGAGTTTTGGACATATATGTTACCATTTGAACAACAAATACTACCAAGTTTTAAGAGACTATTTAATGCAACTCAGGTCAAAAAAGCGCAGTTTAGACCAAAATAAGCAACTCTAAAAAACAGATGATCGCAGCTGTGGCCCAGGGTGACGTCTATTGCTAAGATATCTCACTTGTATTTGTAAACAATGTTTTCGACTAAGCGTGCCTGTATGATCTGGTGAATTTAATTAACTTGAAGTTGATGCACCAATGCCTTGCCATCTAAAAAACA